AGGGGGCTGCTAATAAATGAAGTACTCTTGTTTAGCGACCATTGACCCTCTCAGACTAAATCGAGGGCGGGCTGCAAACATGAGGTATTACCTTTGAGTTGTTTGGTGCTGCAGATGAAAAAAACGGATGTAGAGCCATCAACAAAAGAATTTTGTTGTATGATACAAAAGCTCAATTCCATCTCCCATTTCTACCCCAACCACTATCCTTCTACCTTTCTTTTTCAAGAGCCACTTTTTCTTTTGTTATGTACACTACAGGCCAAAAGTTTGGAAGCAAGATCAGATTTGTACAAAAAAGACCATAGTTTCATTAATATAATTTGCAACACAATAAACATGACAATTGTGTAAAGAGTAACTTATCAGGAGACACTTTGACTATAATTATTAGGTATTTGAGTTATTGTTGCCTAGACTTTGCTTCTTTTAAAGTAACCTCCTCTGGCTTTAACAACAGCTTGGCATATACCAGGCATTCGTTCCACAAGTTTTTTAAGGTATGTTCCAGGGATTGCATTCCAAGCTTTCTTAAGTTCATTAAAAGGAGACTGCTGATTCGTGGGACGCGCTTTTCTGACTGATAGATCCAATTCATCCCACACAAGCTCAATTGGAGAAGGTCAGGAGACTGAGGGGACCAAACCATCTTTTGAAGAACACCTTCCTCTTCTTTTTTGTCTAGGTAACCCTGACAGAGCTTGGCAGAGTGCTTAGGGTCATTGTCTTGCTGCAAAACAAACTTATAGGCCACAAGTCTGAGTCCAGATGGAACAGCATGGTGCTGGAGGATGGAGTGGTACTGTTTCTTCTTCATGATACCCTTTACTCCAAAAAAAATCTCCTACTCCATCACCTGTAAACAATCCCCATACCATGGCACTACCACCTCCATGCTGAATTGTGGGTGTAACACATGATGCTTTCAGACGTTCACCAGTTTGTCTGCGGACATAGACTCTGCGTTTTGAACTAAACAGTGCAAACTTGTTTCTAGTCATCATAAGTCCAATTTTTGTGAGCTTTTGCCCACTCATATCTCTTTTTCTTATTCTGTGGACAAAGTAGTGTTTCAACATAAAATGTTGAATTTGTCCATATGGAGAGCAAAAACAGGCAGAACACACTGTTCTCATGTCAACCCAGTTCCTATATTATTTAGTAATGAACAGTTGAACTTGTTGATTGTGAGTTAATGACTCTACCAGGCTCATGCTGCTGAAGTAAACCTTTTAGTAACATACTTTCCACTAAGAACTTCTGGAAGATACATAAGCAGATGCCATTCTGGGTACGTAGTGGGTCAAAAATGATGGCAGTCACTTTGCAAATGGTTATACCTCTCAGAAAAGGAGGTCTGGGCCTGGGAATTGATGGGCATTACCCTGCTTCACCGGAAATGCTGAAAAGTTGGCTTTCTTTTCCATAGTAACAGTATTTTTATCGCACATCATGATCAGACAACAATTGGTGACAATTTTAAGGCAGATTACAGAAAATGTCTACATTTGTATGGCATTTGGTGGTTGACACAGTTAAACTAGGAGCACTAAGGCAGCAAAAAATATAGTGGCATGATTCCATTAAGAAATTTATAATCCAGCGAAGCATCAGCCTCATTACTCTCTGTTAACCAACAAATGATTTAGAGAATCATGCATAATTCATAGAGTGGGAATCTTAAGCCAGGAGAGCTGCAAAGGCAGGAAACAGATACAATCACTGTTTACCCAAAAACCACTAAGGATCCTTTTTGCCTCTATAGAGACCATAGTCAACTAGAATGTCATTTGCCCACAAATAACACAAAAAAGGACTGCTGTTTAACACTAGCAAAGTACCATGCTATTGTAAATGAAATGAGCTAAATGCATTCATTAGTGGTTCTCTAATATTCTATATGACTGCAATTTGCCTACCACCCTGACATTTTACACCCCACTAGGCATATTAATTTGAAAAAAATATTGCTTGCGGGCTTTAGAGAGAATACTGTAATTAAGCCGCCATTATTCACAATGAATTTGTCACTTCTGAAGACAAACAAGGCTGAGCGTGCACTGTTTACAGCTCTTTCAAATATGGGAAATGTTTGACACTCTTTGCAATAAAGCAAGAAACAAAACACTAAGGCGTTGTGGAGTAAAATGCCAATGGAAAATACATTTTTCTCTCTGTTGTTCTGCCCTCGACGAGACCATGTGTTTTATCAGTCATGCACAAATTATCAGCAAACACCCATCCATCACTTTAGGGGATGGGTGAATAACGACAAATACTCGTTGTACCAAATGACAGAAATATATGAAAGGATGAGCTTGTAAATAGGAGAGGGCTACAGCATCTATAACATCTGATGTGACAAACATATACCAGCTATAATCTCAAAACAGGCAAGTGGTTATTTTGTGGCTTCAAGATATAAGCAGAGATTCCTGAATACATAAAGACTGTTATTGTGCCGACTACCAGTGTGCAGATAAAAGATGTCTTCAAGGGGTTTGCATCTCAGCCGTGTGTTCAAGTCAGCCTTTATATTATACACATACATGCAGATGTATTCATATCATCAAAAGCACATTCATATTTCTCCTCTTTGTCTCACGTAAAAAAAAAAAAAGTAATGAATTCAGTTTTTCTATGTATATAAAAGGTGGAGGCTTCTCTGCACTCCACGCTCTCATCTCTTCTCCCGGTTTGTGCTGCTCGTCCTCTGAGGCGAAGTGAGCTTATCCCTCTGCATGGTAGAGTGTTCATCCAAACCTTACATGTAACAGTGGCACCAACCCCCCAGAGAAAAGGTGATGAAACATCCCCCCTCAGCAGCTTAAAAGAGAACTGTAGTTTCCATAGGAACAGATCTTAGAGCAATTATGACACGCAGAATGAAGCTTGATGAGCAATCATTTAGGAATGGCCCTCCAAATTCCTTCTGAGAGGAGCCGAATCTTCCCCTCGACTCCCCTCCTTTCATTTCCTTCTCCTCATCTTTTGTTTCCTGTCTCTCTTTGCCCCTCCTCACCAGATGCTAGTCTAAAGCACACTTTTTGCAATGAATCTCATTTTTTACATCTTGAGGGCCCTATTCATCTTCTGATCAGCCAGCATGTCTGAAGTAGAGATCGATGACACAGTCTCACTTTCTGAAAAGGAAAATGGGATGATGAGGATGATGCCCGAGGAGAAAACACAAGGATGAGTTTAGGGGAGATTAGGGGGTAAGGAAAAGGCATTAAGGAGCAAATTAAAAAGAACAGGGCGAAGGTAAGGACACAGACAAATTGGAGGATGAGGGGGACAGAGGAAGAGGGCAGGCAGATGGGGAGAGGAGGAATGGGGACCCTCGTTTGGGGCTGTGGTCCACGCTCCATTAAAGCTCATCTGCATAATGTTCCTCCTGCATGGCCTCATTAGAGATAAGCAGAGGTGCTGGCAACATTCTGCCAGGTAACACATGTGATAGCATCTTCTCCTCCTTCCCCTCATTTCCCCTCCTCCTCCCCTCTTTTCCATCTCTGCCTTCCATTTTCTCAGCCCTCCTACTCTCCTCTTGTCTGACCCTCCCTCACCAGATGCTAGTCTAAAGCACACTTTTTGCAATGAATCTCATTTTTTACATCTTGAGGGCCCTATTCATCTTCTGATCAGCCAGCATGTCTGAAGTAGAGATCGATGACACAGTCTCACTTTCTGAAAAGGAAAATGGGATGATGAGGATGACGCTCCTGGCTAAAGCATGACGGCACGTCGACAGCAGTTTAGTAAAGTACACATCTTTCGAGGAAGGAATGAATGGATTTCCTCTCCATTTTTGCCTTCCTCTCCTCCTCCTTCATATTAAGCTTAACAAACAGAGAGTGGTGGCAGCCCTGGCACCCATGTTTAAGGCCACAAGTTGAGAGATTGGACCCTCGTTTGGGGCTGTGGTCCACGCTCCATTAAAGCTCATCTGCATAATGTTCCTCCTGCATGGCCTCATTAGAGATAAGCAGAGGTGCTGGCAGGAAACCACATCAAATGGCATCCATCACATCCCCCTCATTCATTTGCCATAGTCTCTTGACTTAGGGAATAATGCCTGCTGTGGCAATCAATAGATTTCTTCACAACTAATGTCATTCCCTGTTCTGCTCTCTCCCACACACCCCCTCACTTGTTGAGAAGCTAGATAGCACAGCACAGATTTTTTCTCATTTTCCGCTCACACACTCCATTTGTTTTCACATCTTTGTACTTCTCTCCCGCTCTGGTCCCTTTTCTCTTTCTCCTCCTCTATTTGCCCCCCCCCCTCCTTCTTTCTTTCTCTCTTTCATTCTCTGCCTCCCTCTCCATCTCTGACAGCTGTTGTTGCTCTGCTGTGTTTGCAGCCTACGCCTTATCTGGGCATGAATTCATTTAGCTGCCATTAGATGCCTCTCCACAGACCCTGCCCAGAGCTCTTCTAAAGGAGGGAACCCATTTAAACAGCATAATTCATAACTCGGAGAACAGCAGTGCAGATGGAGGAGTAATGTGCTTTAATGCTGTCAACTGTGAGTAGACAAATGGCTGGTCATAAACATCCATATCAATGTGTGAGAGGGGGGAAAACCACATCAAATGGCATCCATCACATCCCCCTCATTCATTTGCCATAGTCTCTTGACTTAGGGAATAATGCCTGCTGTGGCAATCAATTCCACAGGATTTATGCTAAAATGTAGGGTCTTATTTTGCTCCCACTGCCTACGTATGCAAATTAAACTTTTAAACCTTTTATCCAACTTGCCTAGATTCTCTACTGTAATGTGCCGATGGCAGGCATGAGAGCCAGTCACCAGGCCAGCTTTGTGCACCATGACTTGAAATTTGCATGCCTGTTTTATACTTAAATGCCTCCTTGTTTTTTTATCCTTTTACATTTTCACCCTTTTCTTTAGCTATATGTACTTTTAGTAGGCTTGAAGTAGATTACTCAAATACAGTAAATCAAATCCATCTTAAAGAAATCAAAACTCAGCGGGCTTGTACGCGGACAAAAACCAAGCTCCAAGCACAGGCCATAACATGTGGAAATGCAAGAGCCCCCTTGGCAGTGCTGTTATAAAGCCTTGATCCTTATTCATGATGCTATCCTGCTAAATATACTGTCCAATAAAGATTGTCTTTGCAGTATGTACAGTATTTTATATGTGTCATATCTGAGTTTAAAATGCCTTGTACCGTTAGATATTTTGTCTCCTTCAGTAGGACAAAAAAAAAAATCCAGACAGTAATTGTTTGACTTGGGGCATGGGAAATAATTCAAGCTTAAGCTGGAATGGGTGTCACCCTCTGCCCTAGGTCTCTGTCTGAATGTGGGAAAAAAATACAGGATTTATGCTAAAATGTAGGGTCTTATTTTGCTCCCACTGCCTACGTATGCAAATTTAAACTTTTAGGCATTTTTAGTATTAGTCCACTAACTACTGGATTTATAGCATGTCATGACCCAGCTCATAAAACATGATGAAAAGAATGGAAAATACACAGTCTGCTAAACATTTCACAAGTTTAATACAAATAACTGTGTATCAGTAAGTGAGTGTGTTGGTGGTTGGGTGAGTGGAAGATGTATGGAGCGTATTGTTTGGTGTGAAAATAAACTACAAAGATGGCCAAAGCCAACTGAGCAAAACTATGTTAGAGGCACCCCCTGAGGACGACAGAGGGGCAAAAGCTCTGAGCAACATAAACCAGAGTAAAATGAAGCTACCTGAAGACACTTTTGTTCCAGCACAGTTCACTGTCTGTTCTCCCGATGCAAAGCAGCAACAGCAGGCTGAGGCTGCACAGCTTGGCCCCAAACCTTCAACATTCACATCTTCTCTTGTATGTTTTGCAGCTAGACTTCCTCTTTGGTTCTGTTTCTGATGCTGCTTATAGTTAAAGCCCCACTGCCCAAAAATTTCTGCCAATTTGGGGCATCACTCTCGAGGGATTCGAGTCTTTTCTTTAGTTTCCAGCACTACTCTATTCTCTTCATTTTCTTGGATTTTTTAAAAATGTCATTAACTTATTTATTTTCTTGACAAGGACATCCATCATCTGAACTCCAAAAGTGCACCTCACCCAAGATTTTAGCTTGAAGTGCTGCCCTGAATCTGACTGAAAAACAAAAGTTGGAGTTTCCCAAGGCTCAATTCTCAGGTCTCTTATATTAAACATTTTACAATTAGTGCTTAAAAAACTCTATCAGAACCCTTACCTTGGTTGTTGTCATGCATGTAAACATTTCCATCAAACATTTACTCCTGAGTGTAACCTCAGCTGACTTTGTACAAAGATTTAAAGAAACTTTATCAGGACACAAATTTTAAAAAAGGTGTTACCATTCAGTCTAACATGCCAGAATAAGTCTAAAACTTAGGGCCTGATCTACTGAGATCCCAAACAGCGAACACTAAATTGCGTGTGCGAACTAAAAAATTGCACATGCTTTTAGTGGGTGTGTTGCGGGTGATCTACTATCATTGCGTGTGCAACTAATAAAAGGTGGAGGAGTGGTGCGGACCGCCCTCTTTAAACAAGGATTTTGTGTGCACTATTGGCTGTCACCGGGGAGAGTTTGTGAGAGCAGAGTGATCAACAATGAAAAATGAAGTTTGAAGCCATGTAGTTGCACCTATCGTTTTGGGGAACTGTGTAAAAGGCAAGCAAGGCAAGTTTATTTGTACAGCACCATTTATACACAAGGCAATTCAAAGTGCTTTACAGATGCAAAAAAATATTTAGAAATCAAAAAAGGGATTAAAACAATTTAAAAGTAATAAGACAAACATAATTTTTTTTTGTGTGTTCCATGTTTGACTTATTTATTTTCTTGACAAGGACATCCATCATCTGAATGTAGTGTTACAAAGAGTTTTTCAGAAGGAGATATGGCATGGATCATTTTTGTGACTGACTCCAAATCAGCCCTTAGGTCACTCAGCATAATTATTACTATTACCCAACTATTTTTTATCTCTGACAGTCCAAATATGTTGACACATGCAGGGAAGACTATCTCTTCGTCATCTATCATTGCACTTCTGCTTCCTTCTTCCCACAATGACCATATGTAATTCTGTGCCAGTTTGCATGTGCTTTTCAAACATGCTAAATAAAGACGCAAACCAGCGACTGCAATTGATATTCGGATTTGATAAATCACATTGAGGGTGCTAAATTATTCTATTTACATCTGCTCCTGCCAGTATTTTACGCGGCCGGGTGATCTACATACATTCTGCATTTTCATGAAGGCAAATACGCTAAATCAATTGTGCGTGCTGTTTTGCTCATTTGACAGACGCAATCCTTGGTGCACCTGGTTGGTAGATGAGGTTTGTGCGTGCTAACAAGTTTGCATGTGTATTTGCACATGCACACCTTTAGTAGATCAGGCCCTTAGTGTTTGGTTCCCATCAGTTTGTTTGCCAAAAAATCCTCTTTGAAAAATAGTACTAGTGGTTAGCACTTGTTGGGAAAGAGCCAAGACAAATTTCTTATCTGCAGTGATGTCCAACATGGAAAAAAATCTCCTTTGTCCTCTCACTTCTGTATCAGCGCTTAGGCCATTAATAGTTTGGTCACTTCCTCTTTAGGCCAAGTCATCAGATAGCTTTGTCACCTCTGCTCAGCTCTGATAATGTGTCTTCATATCATCCCTCTCATACAGGTCTGCTCATACATATTAATTGGAAATCAAATTGAAGAAGCACCTCCATCCCCCTGTCACTTTTGCTGAGGTATTAATGGAAAGCCATTAACCTGTTAACGACCACCACACTGTAATGGTCAATTAAGTGTCATTATACATGCATTTATTCAATTTTGTGTTGCAGAGTTCAAACATCAGAGCCCAGCACAAAATGAGAAGCTTCAAACACACATACAAAAAAAAAATGCCGTTGATGGTAATGGTTTATACAGTCTAGTACAGTCTACTCTGTACTGGAGAGTGTCTAATGTATTTGCCCAGTGCTCTCCCAAACCAAACATTACACTCTTCCTTCCTGCAGGGAGGGAGAAAATGAAGCCGTTCTCTACTGAGATTTGTCCCTCGTTGCTGCTGTCATCACTTCAAACTGCCAGGTCATTACTGCACCACAAGCAGCTTGGCTTAATGTCTTTTGACTTAACACTAATGACTGACTCTGCATCTGTCCCTGCAGGGAGGAGAGCGGACGAGAGCACCGTGAAAAGCCACGCTAACTCTTATTTGTGACAATTAAGGCGGCGATTTGCATTTCATCAGTTTTCTTAAAGTACTCCAACAAGGATGTTTGGGGTTTCTGTATGCCTGTTAACAAAGAAATTATGTCCCATTAGGGGAGAGGAGATGATAATAGGAGAGGTAGGAGAGGGAGAGGAGTAGAAGAGTCAAAACTCTCCCATTTCCTTTCTGTCTTTCCTTCATATCTTCCCTCCACCTCCCTTCCATCTACATCTCTCATATCCATCCCTCTTTTTAGCCCCTTTTTTCCCACTCTGAGCACAGTGTCGGATAACCCATGCATATTTAACATTGCTGCATCTTCAAAGCTATGAACTTATTCATTAGCATTTAGAGTGCTAATGAAAGCACGCAGAGAGCTAGCACCCTCGCTGTTTCTCTTCACCTCCTCTCGACTCTACTCATCCAACCCCACACCACCCGCTGCACATGACACTATCTACAGCACCTCAACCCCCAACCTGTCCAACCTCCCCCCTCGGCCGTGCTATCTCTCCCTCTTTTTAACACAGAATTCAATTACAGAAGCAGCAAGTTACAATTTAAAACAGAAATGAGTGGGAGGAAAAGCAAAGTCTTGCTTGTTTTCTCTTAGTCTTCATCTGTCACAATTTCCACACAAATTTCACTCAATTTATATTTCCTCAGTACTTTTTTTCAGTTTCTTAAATTGCTGCTTTTTCTGCTCTCTGCTCTCCAGCCTGGAGATGAGAGGAGTTCCCAGGGGTCATGAAGGTGTGTTGTTCTTTCCATCACATGCCCTCATTCTTCCTGAGTCTCTTTCTCACAGTAAACACTCTCTCTTGGCCTCTCGCTGCACAGAAAAGACAGGAAGTGGCTTGATGCTCAGTTAATTGGGCAGGACACAGTGTTTTCCTCTCCCGTTCAGGTCCACTGAGTGAACAAAGTGGAAAGGGGAAAGCCTCTTTTTCACAGGAGCTGTGAAAGTCTCCATCTTCTCCCAGCTCGTGGCTTCAGTTTCAATCTGTCCCCCCCGCTCAAGCTGCCCCTTTCTGAAGAAAAAGCTTTTGAAGCCAAGGTGACGCACTCAAAATGGGGGCGGATCTCTACACCGCCTCCACAGCTACAGATTTGTCGCTCTCCCACACTAAAACACAGGAGCCCAAGCAGGTAGCCTGATTGACGGAGAGCAAAGGGAGACAGAGAGTGTACAGAAGCAATAAAGGAGGAACTGGAGGGAGTGATGAGGGAAGACAGACGCTGGAGATAGTGAATGCTTCGGAGAGAAGAAGGGTCTGGAATGAGAGAGTTAATCTGCAGAGAAACAGATTGGCTTCCCATCCCTCCTTCAAAGGAAAGCACAAATTCAGCACTCTGAGACTCTCTCGCACTTTCTCACACACACACACACACACGCACACATACTGTACTATGCATACGCTCTCACGGGACTTCACACACAAAAGAAATTCAAATGCTGGACACTCAAGCACGCAGCTTATACATGTAAAGCACATGCAAAATTTTCAGAGATGCTTATATCGAAAGAACATGGTCTTGATTCATCAGTATGTGCCTTATTCGGCGGCTGATTGCTGCGCTCCATCTCTGGCACAAAAACACTTGGGGTGACCACACAATAGGGTCGGCCAAAAGATATGGGTCAATAAAACACGAGGGACATTTGAGCTCAAAAGGAAATTGATTTCCCAGCAGCCAGAATATTCTGCAACCTTCACAAACCTTCAGAGACCTGTTTCCTGTCACTTAAATAAGGCTGAGCTATATAGGGTTTGGTCAAGTCCTGTCTCAGGACTGGCACCATAGCTCTTGGCATTTCACAGTGCATTAGTCAATATCTTGACCTCATTAGTCGATACAGGAGCTTTATCATACTTATCACAGTGCTTCATACCATTGAAAATTTTAAGTGGCCAAAGATGATTAAGAAATCTAAAGTTTCTCCTTTCACAACAGATTGAATATATCTGGTAAAATTTGTTGTGAGAGGATTTTGTTGAGGTTCTGTTTATGTGCTATTTTAAAGGTTCCACACACGTCCAAGGGGGATACTAAAGCAGGGTGTGCAGATCTCAAGGTAACTTACACTTATTTTTCTATATCCGTTTCCAAAGCTAAAATGATAATGGGTGAAGAAGTGTTTTCCAGTTTATTATTCTGTGCTCAAATGTCTTGGCCTAAAATAGTGGCTTGCTCATGGTGGAGAGGATGTGTTTCAGGTTGCTAGCAACCGTCAACCTTGGGTCTCGAAAAATGATCGATGATAAGTCTCTAAGACTAGTCTTTGTTCATAGGCAGAAAGATTTCAAACATCTACATTTTCTGTGATTATGGTTATTACAGTTGCAGCCTGCCAAGACATGTTATGACAATGGTAGACCCATAGACTATATATAGAATGGACGCCGTCTGCCTCCTCGCTGGGCGAAGTCACCCCAAGAACAGCACCCTCTGTTGACGGGCTGCAGTATAGGTCATAAATCCCGCCTCCTCCACCATTCCCATGGAGCTGTGGACAAACTTGAGAAATTTATTACAGCTCAGTTTTTTTAAGTTATTAGGGGGTTCATGTTTTCTATGATTGGCACTTGATACAGCCTATGGGCGTATGGAGATTGCGTAGCTCACCCGGAGGATAGGCTATTTGAGCCGAGCATCATCACAGTGACTCTCGGCTAAGGTGACCAGATGTCTGTAATGAAATCCGGGGACATTCGGTGCAGTGGCATCTCTGTACTATTTAGTAGCAGCGCATGCCCCTTGTAATAACCCCCCGTTAAAACTTTTGTCCAGGACTGCTTACTTGTGCTTCCTACCCATTCGGCTACGGTAATAACAGTTATTCTAGCCTACACGCAACATTTTTGTTCTCATTCATGAAACGCTTAAATCAGGGACATTTTCAGGGACAGCTTTTGCCAGGGACAGGTCATCCAATTCGGGGACTGTCGCGGGAAATTGGGGACGTCTGGTCACCTCACTCTCGGCGACTCTCCTGCCGAATGCGTACAATGCTACTGCACAAGTGGTGGAGTGCGTACAACACTACTGCGCAATGTTGGTTTCAGGAAGTAGAGAAAAAACGCAGAATTACAGAGACCCTTTTTTAGCTTCAAATCCGTATACAGGCAGAAGGTGGAACCAAGTTGTCCATAGTATATACAGTCTATGGGTAGACCTCAAAGTCCCCAGGTGTGACAATTGAGATAATGCAGTGACAAAAACAGCATCTTGTGAATATAAGCTGAGTATATTAAGTGGCATTCAGGGTCAGTGGGTTCTCCTTGGGACAAGTTCAGCGATTACAAGTGGACCATTACATGCTTTGGTTCTGATTTATATTGTTTAAAAGCCTGAGGCATTTACTTATTTTATTATGTCAAAATGTCTTCCTTATTTGAATATCATTTTATTTCTCTGGAGTCTGCTTCCTGTATTCTGTAGCCTGGAAACAAAGAAATGTGTGTGCCATATACCAAGCATTTGGAGGGGAAAGGGAATAAAATAATGGTATTTAGAAAATAATGGTTTTTTGATGAGATGGATAAACTTGTCATACTTGCTTTCAGCCTTCACAAAGTATTGGGCAATATTTTGAGTTAATAAAAACAGTGAGAAGACTGAGAAGAGGAGGACGAGAGTCATTGTGCACAAAAGAATTTTAATTGACATTTTTGATGATAAAAACTTGATGAATGGAGAATCATACTAGTCACACAGCATTACAGAGCCCTCTTTTCCTTGAAGATCCTTAACTTCACACTATCACTTCACTGATGGGGTGAGTAATCAATACAAATCAGACCCACAGTAACACTAAATATTTCCATACTTTCCCCATATAAACACTCAAAAATGACTTCTCTGTCCTCAATGCTTAATTGCTTTTATTGCAAGCGCTAATGTTGGCCATTTCTGCTAAGAATTCAGACTGTCTTCACGCACCCAAGACATTCATAGGAAACAATGCAGCATTATAACCTCTGCCAAGGAAGTCATGTTTACGGTAGCGTGGGTTTGTTTGTTTGTCTGTTACCAACTTTATGGAGAAAGTAACAAGACAGATTGTCCTGAAATTTTCACCAGAGGTGCGTCTCAGCCCCGGGAGGATCCCATTAAATTTTGGTGGTGATCCGGACAAAATTCTGGATACTGTGATCCAGAACACACAAAAAAAAAGGGTGTTGTTGGAATTTTCAATGCTGAAAGATAACCAGTGGGCGGCACAGAGGTGAAGATAGGTGGCACAGTGGTGTAGTAGTGAGCACTGTCACCTCACAACCAGAAGGTCCTGGGTTTGAATCCTTGTCAGGGCATTTCTTGCTTAAAGCGCTCTCCAAATGCTTTTCTAGTTTTTGTTTTGCATCAAAAATATCAAAATGCAAACTGCAGATTCCCCTCTTATAATGAAATGAACTAGTAGGCACTTTGTTTTCCTTGAGCAGCAATTTTGTGGCATAGTCTGATTTCGTGATAAGATTTCAGCTGTCCAATCACAGTCTTGGTAGCTGTTCAGCGTTAAAAAGAAAGGCAACACTTTATTTGAGCATTATGATCATTCATGAGTGTTTATAACTATAGTTAAACAGTGCTATAATGTGATTATAATGCATTATAAATATACTTATAATGTGTTATAGAGATAGGTGTCCAAAAAAGTGTTATCAAAAACAAAACCACAAAAAATCTTTTTTGAGGGAGAAAACCAGATGGAGTAGCCGTGCCATAAGTTTTGTTTGTAAGCCTTGACAATAAAAATATGCTTTTGTTTGTCTCAACTGCAAAAAGACACACCAGTTGCTTGTCTGTTTGGTTTCTGATAAGGTTAAAGCTCAGGGTGTGCTTGACTGGTATAAAACTGCACCTGCAGTCACCCCCGTAAGCCTGGGCATATGGATTAAAACTTATGAAGCTAAATCCAGCAGCTTCTTAGCATAATAACTGAGGAAAGCAGGTAGACTGTCTCTGTCCAAGGATAACAAAACACACCTTCTGGCATCTCACTTGCTGGTAATATAAGAGAAGAGGGGACACATATTCAACTTTCTTGTGTCTTGTGTTTCGGAGTGTAATTTTGTTTAGTTTTGAAGTGGTTAGCTCGCATGCACATCTAGGAAGAGTCTTTTTTTTCCTGCAAGGATAAAACAGATTCAGCTTATCAGCAACACTGGGTCCAGTAACCTGGACTTCTTGTTGTGACAGGCACAAGAACCTGAACATCAAAGTGTGTTTGTGTTTGTAAATGCACTCTGCATGTGTGTGACCCGGTTTGCTGACCCAGTAATGGTGGCCGTGTTCACCTGTATTACTCACACTTGTCTGCATTGCACAGTTCAAGCAGCCCTGACAGCACACCGCTATCTATCAGGTGCACCACTGAATCATAACTTCATTCAAACCGCGGGACACCTGGGGGAGAGGGCTGTTCGAGTGTTGCTGAAAACAGCTCTGCCATGCCGTTAAAGCACAGAGACGTGTGCTGCACAAGAGAGGAGAGGAAGTGTGATTTTTCCATATGGTTTGTCTTGGAGTCGTGTTTAAGGAAATGATAAGGTGTTTACTCTGCTTGCAGGTGGATTTTGTTGTGAATGAGCTGGACTCTTAGATTTCTTACTTGCTGGGATGCATACTGTTTTTATTGACTTCCCCCACCCTCCTTTTGTTTTTGACTTCTCGCTGACCTTTCCACCTCTGTTTCTCTGCCTCCCACTCCTCAAGACTCCCCCTGCAAGTATTGAGTCAGTCTGACTGCATCAGGCGGCGATTGAGATCATTAGAGCAGCTGATTTAACGAGTCCATGGCACCCTGTGCAGCTGCGGCAGTAAAGGTTTTGCACTGCTGACGCACACACTCACACACAGACTCCCAAATTGATTGGACCTGCGCTGATTTCCCTGGGCAAATATGTGATGCGTGGTTGCTTTTATAGGGAAGGAACTGTCAACTCTATCGGCTGCGATGTATACTGCAACACCTCAGCCATGATATTGAACAGTGTGTGTGTGTGTGTGTGTGTGTGTGTGTGTGTGTGTGTGTGTGTGTGTGTGTGTGTGTGTGTGTGTGTGTGTGTGTGTGTGTGTGTTATAAAGAGAGGGGAGGCAGAGTTGTAATTTCAACAGGCCCCAAAGGTTTCACAGGGATGTCTTGATTAGAAAATTAATTACTTTGCATCCACTTTTTTTTTCTAATCTATCTACTTTTTTTTGAAGATTTCTAAAGCCTGAGTGCAAGCCTCACTCTATTAGACCACTGATACCTGCAGTGAAGTATAATTGTAGTCCTCTGGTCAAAAGAACAGTGTTCAAAACTCTGACTATGCTTTGTTTCCTCCCTGTGGCTAACATCCCTGACTGCCATAATCATATGCAACCATTTGCACTTTGAGTCTTTAAAAAGCCGTAACAAAAGCAATTCAAAGTAAACACTGGACAGTAAGATTGACAGCTCCAGGTCCCGTTAATCATTCACTTTCCTTTGACCGTCCCCGTAAGCGTGTCTGATCTCATTTGGGTTGACCCTGTTAGCCGTGCAGAACGTTAATTTGTTTTGATTGATCCTAAATGCTTGTTAGCGGAGGCAGAACATTCAAACAGATATGGCAGGCTAGATAATGAAAATTGCTAGATAGGGGAGACAGTTACGTAACATATCAATTTATGCCACACGTATTGAGTGCTTTCAAGCACGCATTCCCCTGAAATATATCCCAATTATTGATATGGATGTGCAGTATGCACTTAAGAAGATCTTGTACAATAACAATTTACTTGTTTTCCTCTGAGTGTGTCTTTGCTGTTGGAGGATATTGGGGGGACTTAAAGGAGCAGTATGAGATATTTAGCCGCATTTCGCAGACTAGACAGAGTGGAAATTAAATATGATATTTATAAGTGTGCTTAAAATTTGAGTATAAGATAAAAATCATTTTGTTTTTCAGACATAAGAACCAGACAAACAACCTGCGCACCATCACCATTCACATCATAATACTCTGGTTGGGAGACTAAGAAGAAGGAGACAAAAGAGGTTGTTGTGTGCAAAGGACTTTGTACTGATAGAAATTTCAGATGGTATGGACTAGGGTTGTCCCTGTATTCTTGTACTGATATAATCATAGTAGTGGTACTTGATGCCTTGTACTTTCTACTTAATGCTGGCTCTCTCATGTTATGCAACTGAGGATAGATGAAGAATAAGAAGTATCTAATCTAATATTGCCAAAGTCATGGTATAAACTTGACAGCTAGGAATCATACTTATCCTGCATCTCAGGAGGTTTTTGTACTTTAAGGCCACCACTGATTCACTATCAAAAGGAGTGAGTAAAAGAGTGTTTCAATCAAGAATCTGACTGCTATAACTCGACATATTTCCATTTCCACACGTTGAGGACCTGATCAACTAAAGGTTTGCGTGTACAAAAACACGTGCAACTTGATAGCGCGCGCAGAGCTGATGTACTAACCAGGTGCACCGAGGATCGCATCTGTCAAATGAGAAAAATACCACGTGCAATCCATTTAGCTTCCATTTAACTTTATGAATATGCAGAAAATATGCAGACTATCAGATCAGTTTGGGGGTGGGGGGCAGATGTTAATATATAGCACTCACAATGTGATTTTTAAAACCCTGAAACCGATTGCAGTCTGTGTTTTTGTGTCTATGTTTAGCACACTGGAAAAGCAGGTGGAAACTGGCACAGTGTTACATACAGACTGCTGCAGTCATTGTGGCGAGAAGGAGGCAAAGGTGCAATGACAGACAACGGAGAGAGATAATCTTCCGGGTGCGTGCCAACATATTTGGACCGTCAGAAATAAAAAACAGTAGAGACATTTCCAAAGTTTTTTTCTTTGTTCTTCTGTGGATATCGTGCCATCTACTTATTTAATCGTCAGATCATCTGGTTTTGCTCACAGCATTCACCTTTTCACAGATGGCCTCCCAAATTGCATTTCTTCTGGCAACGCTAGGATGTCTCTGTTGGAGTTCACCAGCATGTTTATTTACCTCCTCCACAGAGACCTCCAACTCCCTGGCTTCAAACTTCACTTTTCATTTATGGCCACGCTGCCCTCTCAAACTCTCCATGGTGACACACGGTAGCACATGCAAAATCCTCTTTTAGATAGGACACTTCCCATCACTTTCGCACCTGTTATCAATTGCAGGAGGAAGAGCAGTCATCCAATAACTGGAAGGTTGGTGGTTCGATTCCCTCCTACCTGAGTCTGTCAGTTGTGTCCTTGGGTAAGACACTTAACCGACCTTGCTCCCAGTGGTGTATGATTGTGAGTGTTGTGTGGTGGTAGTCGGAGAGGCCATAAGCGCAAACTGGCAGCCACGTTTCCATCAGTCTGCCCCAGGGCAGCTGTGACTACTGAGGTAGTTTACCACCACCAAGGTG